CATCTCCATACAATTACATACACCCATCTAAACAAATAATGTATCCCTATATCTAAACCGGGTTTCATGAAAGCAAAAGCACTAACGACTATGCCACGTCGCCCAATATATGTCTTGTTACGAAGAAAAGCAATATGGTAATAAATATTCTTGTTTATTTCTAATCAATTGTTTTATTCAACCATTGTAAACGTACATAAAGATTTCATTTCACTTTTAGCGAAACTAGTAACAATCAAATTTTATTCGAAAATATATCGTCTTAATAAATTAAGAATAATATGAAAGCCAATAAGACAAAGATATAGTGAATAATATAGATTGTTTTTCCTCATATCTCATGTTTATTCAATTCTGACGTAAAGAAGCGAACATGCTATTGTGTTAATAGCATAAGAATTTCAAATTTTGTAAAACATCTTGATCTTTCCCAATTCAGTCGATGTATATTCGCATATAAAATATTTTTGATTTTTGTCTTATTAAATTATATTTTTATTTAATGTACAGAACTAAAACTTTTTCTTATTAATATTATCCTTGCAATTTTATATTAGTGGTTATGGCAATACATGAACTGTTTGGGTTTGAATGCAACGGGTAAAAATGACTGACTATATTCTGCATGTTCAACTACCATGTAAGAGAGACAATTCATTTATCATAGGCGTGGCACAAAGAAATTGTTACGTTCTTCCATAATATAAAATCAATACCCAATTGTCGATTCGCAACTCAAAATCCTGAGTGGTGAAAAAAACTTGAAAAATTACAACCGTCATCGAATCTTGCTTATTAGGATAATTATGCTGACTAATGCAAAACATTATTAATAAGATACCATCGACAGCATCACGACGAAGTTTTTATTCAATATGGCCTCCATTAATTTGAATTAACATCAGAAAATTTTTCACTTAAAAAATTATTGAAAATCGTGGCCCACATTTTCTTAACAACCAGGTATTGATACTGGTGTACTCTTATTGTTGGACTGCTCCAAATTGTCCAAAGGAACGTAATCTGGCGGTTTCAGGGCCGAGTTTTAAATCCACTTGCCAAGAATTATCAGACTTCGCTTTGCATAATTTCTGCAAATATGGATCTGTGTGGCTTCAAATACTGTACTGGGGCCACAAATAGTTGCTCACCAGATAGTTAGACTTGCGTCATGTCCAATTGGGCAGCATTAAATTGTAGTAGGCATCAACTCGCACATTTTCCCCAACATTATAGAAGAATGAGATTTTTTTTTAGAAACCTTGATATCCAAGAGTATGGACTGGGTTGGCTGTATAGTTCTGAATGTTTTATTGACATCAACTGCTGACTTCGTCAAGCATAGTTCCTTTCGCGCTTCAAAATAGCATCAACCGTGAAGATTTTCTAATAGAATATTTTAACTTACTACCCATGATTCTTGAGGTACCTGACCCCATTTTGGCACATTCCCGAACCTTTGACCGTCATTGATTTTTTGAGGAGATATCTAAACGTCATGTTATTTTTTAAGAAATTTTTCCCCCTTTTTCCTGTTTAACAGCGAAGATTAAATGTTTAAGATTTCTTACACTTGATCATGCGACATAAAACCGGCTATGCTCAAATATTTCTTTCTGGGGCCAAATTCCAACTTTTTGAACCATTTCACCTTGTGATTTGTTTATAGTTCTCGCAAACGCAAGGGGAACTGGAAACTGGATTTTTGTATACAAAAATTAAAGAAATTTTATGCAAAAAACAATATTGCATTTCTGCTAAAATAAGTATTTGATATTTTAATCATTAAATTGTTTTTAAACTAATGGGAGTATTTTGTATGTTAAATAATAAAACTTTTAATTTAACCAACCGTCCCTTGAACCCCTTACCTGTTTGCAATTTTCCTTGACATTTGATTTCGATCAGTCAACGTATGGCTATTTTAGAGCGTGTGACGGACGGGTGGATGGACTAACAGACGTCACAGAAATTTATATGTAGAACGATTACCAACTTGTATATTTTAACATCATTCTGAAATCCCGGTAAATCTGTTACAAAATAGCATCCGTTATCATGTTAATTTTATTGTGCATAGTGCGCCTAATTCTTACGAAAAGCAACGCTAAAATATAAAATCTAATTAACACCAAATTAGTTCAGCATCTTGCTTCGCACAACCCTCTCTCAGACTATCAATATGGCTTCCGTTTCGCCTGATCTCCCACCGACTTTTTGAGCGCCATCACCGAATTTGTCTATCATGCCTTAGATAAGAATCTGGGGCTGTAGCTCAGTATATGTCAAAAAGCGTTCGACTGGCTTTCTTCACAAGCTCAGTGGCTACCGTGTCAAGGGATGAATATTTGGCTTAATCCAATCGATTCTAAGAAATCGTGTAATCTAGGTTGTGTTGAACGGGCACACTTTTAGATCATTTCATACTAACGCGGAGACCTCTCTTGGTTCTGTCTTTGGACCTACGCAGTTTCTGGTTTTCATCAATGCCTTCATCGAT